TTAGTTAGTTAGTTAGTTAGTTAGTTAGTTAGTTAGTTAGTTAGTTATAAAAAAGTTCAATGAATATTTTAAGTAGCCACTTTAAAGTCAATGTGTCACGGAAAGAAACCAGGAAGGACAGATGTGGTGGATTTTGCCAAGAGAATGGAAATGGCTGTAGTCAATTATTTCCAAAAGAGGGAGGAACATAGCTATATACCTATAAGAGTGGAGGCAGGAGTACGCAGATAGACTACAATCCGTGTAGAAGAGGAAAGCTGAGGGAGATTGGAGACTGTAATGTTGTGGCAGGTTAGAGCATGGCCAGGGAGCAATGGATGGTTGTGTGTAGGATGGCTGTGAGTAAAATCAGAGAAGAAGATCAAATGGTGGAAGCTGAGGAAGAAATAATGTTGTGAGAAATTCAGAAAGGGGCAGTTAAAGGCTCTGGGTGGTAAGAAAGAGCTTCCAAATGACTGGACTACTACAGCAACAGTAATTAGAGAGCCAGGTAGGAAAGTATTTGGTGTGTCATCTGGACAGAGAATGGATGATAAGGAAACCTGGTGGTGGAATAGTGAAGTTCAGGAGCTATTCAGAGAACTAGGTTAGTCATAAAAATATGACTGAAGGTCTGAAGAGAGAAGACAGGAATATAAGGAGATACAACATAGTGCAAAGAGGGAGGTAGCAAAAGCAAAGCAGAAGGTGTATGATGAGTTGTGTGGGAGGCTGGAAACTAAAAAGAGTGTGACAAGAACTTGTACCAATTGGTGTGATAGTGGGATCAGGCTGGAAAGGATGTGCAGCAGGTTAGGCTTATTAAAGATAGGAATGGTAATGTTCTAACAAGTGAGGAAAATGTGATGGGAAGATGGAAGGAGTATTTTGAGGAGCCAATGAATGAAGAGAATGAAAGAGAAAGAAGAGTAGAAGTCATAGAAACTGTGGACCAGGGAGCGGGAAAGATTAGTGAGGGTTAAATCTGGGAAGCTCTGAAAAGAATGAAAAAGGGGAAGGCAGTAGGGCCTGATTGCATACCAGTGGAGGTCTGGAAATGTCTTGGGGAGATGGCAGTGAGGTTTTTGACTCAAATATTCAATGGCATATTTGAGGGTGAGAAAATGCCTGAGGAATGGAGAAGAAGTGTGCTGGTGCCCACTTTTAAGAACAAAGGTGTTGTACAGAGTTGTAGCAACCACAGGGGAATGAAGTTGATGAGCCACACGATGAAGATCTGGGAGAGAAATATGAAAGCTAGACTTAGATGAGAGGTGACTATCTGTGAGCAGCAGTAGGGTTTCATGCCAAGAAAGAACACCACACATTCCATCTTCGCTTTGAGGATACTGATAAAGTACAGAGGGTCAGAAAGAACTCCATTGCATCTTTGTGGAATTAGAAAAATCAACTGACGGTGCCGAGGGAGGAGGCTTAAGTAAATCTGGAGTTACAGTACAAAGTTCAGTATGTTAAACTGGTACAGGACATGTATGAGGACAGCAGGACAGTGGTGAGATGTGCTGTAGGGGTGATAGATAGCTTCAAGGTGGAGGTGGGATTGCATCAAGGATCGGCTCTGAGCCCCTTCTTGTTTGCTCGACAAACAGTCGAGGTCAGGCAGGAACTGCTGTGGACTATGGTATTTGCAGACATTGTGATTTGTGGTGAGAGCAAGGAACAGGTGGAAGGGAACTTAGAGAGGTGAAGGTATACACTTGAAAGACGAAGAATGTAAGTCAGTCATAGTAAGACAGTACATGTGCGTCAATGAGAAGGAAACAGGTGGAACAGGGAGGCTACAAGGAGCAGAGGTCACAAAGGTGCAGGACTTCAATTACTTGGGGTCCACTGTCCAGGAAAATGGGGAGTGTGGTGAAGAAGTGAAAAAGAGAGTCCAGGCAGGATGGAGTGGATGGAGAAAAGTTTCAGGAGTGATTTGTGACAAAAGGGTGTCGTCAAAGGAAAAGTTTACAAGACAGTGGTGAGACCAGCTATGATGTATATTCTGGAGACAGAGACATGGACAAAAAGACAGGAGAAAGAACTGGAAGTGGCAGAAATGAAGATGTTGAGGTTCTCCTTAGGAGTGACAAGGATGGATAAGATTAGGAATGAGATCATCAGAGGTACAGCACAGGTTGAAGGACTGGGAGATAAAGTTAGAGAGGCCAGACTGAGACGGTTTGGACATGTTCAGAGGAGGGACAGTGGGTATACTGGTAGAAGGATGTTAGAAATGCAGCGGCCAGGAGAAAGACAAAGAGGAGATATGTGGATGAGGAGACATGGCGGTAGTTGGAGTGAGGACAGAGAATGCAGAGGACAGAGTGAGATGGAGGAGGATGACTTGCTGTGGAGAACCCTGAAGAGAGAAAAACCAAAAGAAGAAGAAGACAAAACATTTTCAGACAAAAAGTGACACCACCAGTTACTTCCTTATAATGTATGAGGGAGGAGAAACACATAGAAGCCTTTTAAATCTGTTTTAAAAGTTTACAATAATAAAACATGAACCTGTAAATGAATGAATAGCCTGTAGTTCAAAAACATTTGAAATTATAGGATTTGTGATAAACTGACTTCAGAATTAAACATGGAGGCTTCTCGTCCTTCCAGGCAGCTTGGTGGGACAGCTTTTGGCTCATGACGGTGATAAAGAAGGGACTCTGAACGCTCAGCTGGCCTACACCATTGTGTCTCAAACACCATCCACTGAATCCAACACGTTTTCCATTGATGAATCTTCTGGAAGCATCAAAGCGCTTCGCGCCCTTCGTCGAAAGGAGCACCAGGTCTACAACCTCAACGTCAGAGTCAGCGATTCAGGTGACACTCATATGGAAACCCATCTGTACTGTCGGACTGTTCTTCAGAATCAAGTTCTCATCTGGTATTATGATTCATAGTTTTCAGCACAGACTGTAAGGTGATCGTCAAGGTGATCGACGTCAACAACGAGTTGCCTCTGTTTGAGAAGACCGACGTAAGCAAATAAACCACTGTTCAAATTTTATCTTGCTCTTTGAATGATAACCTGACGGTGTGTGTCATTTGGTGTGTAGTACGGTAACCACACTCTGGCAGAGGACACTCCTGTGGGACACACAGTGCTGACCTTAAGAGCAACAGATGCTGATGAACCCGGCAGCGGCAGCTCGCTGGTCCAGTTCCACATCTCTGCAGGCGACGAAAACAAAGTCTTTACTGTGGAAAGTGACGGCAGTGGAGTTGGTCACCTGGTCATAGCCAAGGTGCTGAACACCCTCTCAGTCCTTGTCCAACGTTTTGAAGGTTTAACCTCTGATGATGGACGGCTTGTGTGCTTTCAGTGTTTGAAATGCTCTGTTCTGGGTTTCACTCACAACATCTGGGCTTTTTCTTGGCAAATTTTCTACATAAATCAGTAATTTGAGCTTAAAAGAAGTTTAAATTAACATAAAATTAGAATAAAACCTATAGAAACCACAGAGTAGAAGAATGCTGTACGTCTCTATTTTTGAGATGTTGAATGCAATAATTTTTCTTTGATTGTGAGTTTATTTTTTGCTGAATGTCCTAATCTGACAAGATTTTTGCATATCTGTACTAAATCTACAGTATATTAAAATTGTTCATGCTAGCATATTTAATATATAAAAAACAGTGTATACTGAGTTATTTTGACTGTTTAGATGAAAGCCACATCTTCTACTGTATCTTTCTGATCATGTCACTCCTTCTAAAATGCTTATCTCTCCTGGAACAGCCTCTGGACTTCGAGTCTTCTCCAACCTACAAACTCCAGATCGACGCTCGCAACCCCGAGCCTCTGATGAAAGACCTGGAGTACGGCAGCGAGTCCACTGCCGTCTTGCTCGTGTCTGTCACGGATGTGGACGAGGCCCCAGAGTTCAGCCTGGACCGCCAAGATGTGGCTGTAGCTGAGAACTTCACAAAAGGAGCAGTGCTGCTCACAGTGGAGGCCAAAGATCCAGAAGGAAAAGAGATTGGGTAAAAACACAGTCAGCTGCTGGGATGTTCTGGTCAGATTTAGGTCCGATTGAGCTGCAGGAACATTTTTGATCTGTAGTACAAGAAACAAAAGAAAGGAAAGAACAACAGGGTGATGGTGGTTTCATTTACTTACCATAATCTGGGGGTATTCTATAAAAAACAATAAGCAAACCCAATTTATCTCACTGGCAAGCGTAGATATGTCTTCATACATATTTTTTTCATTGTATCTTTTTAGGTAAATGCACAGATTTAGTTAAATAATATCTAGACTAAAAAATAAAAAAAACTCCTGAACATACAACCTTACTGGAAATGTCAGACAATTTAAAATAAAGAGACAGAAAACAATATTTTTCAGCTATCCTGATGCATGCTCAATGCTCAATCTTTTTCAGCATTAACTTTGTACAAGAATATTCTGAGTGAGGATAAGTCTCACAGAAATGCTGGATATGATTACCGCTTAAGTAATGAGGTAACGTGTTTGAGGACAGATTCTTTCAAATGTCTTTTCAACTTCAATTCTCTGAAAAGGATTTCTTAGAAAAATTTTAATTTGAACATCAAATAAACTTGAAAAGTCTCTGCAAAGTCTAACTATGGTTAAATTACAGTAGAATCAGAATCCAAACCACTATTGTCATTCCAGCGACCCTTCTTCATCAGAGGAAGACTCATCACACAGGTTTTACTGATGCATTATTCAGAACTGCTCTGATCCAAATCGAACTACTAGGTCAGGATTTTCATACAGAAGCTAAAGAGATAGTTGTTTTGTGTTACATGGACTAAAACTTTGATTTAAATATTCACTGCCATAACTACACAGCATTAAGTTCTTACAAACACAATGAAAGATTTTAAAAATCATGTTTTTACAGGTCATACAAAGAGACACGTCCTACATGAAAGTTGACAAAAAAGGAACAGATACACAATGGCAGGTCGAGAATCACGTTAAGATAGAAATAGTATCAAATGAAAACTATTCAATTTTAAAAACTAATTTAAGGAAATTAGGTAAATTTGTCCTCCAGTAGTCTAAGTCTATGGCAGCATAACAAGTCAACCCTAACTATAGGATTTATCAAAAAGGAAAGTTTTAAGCCCAATCTTAAAACTGGACCATGTGTCAACCTTACGGACAGAAACTGGAAGTTGGATCCATAAGAGAGGAGACTGATAACTGAAAGATCTTCCTCCCATTCTGCTTTTGGAAACTCTATAGGAACTGCAAGTAAGCCTGCAGTCTGAGAGCTAAGTGCTGTGTTAGGAAACTATGGAACAATAAGATCTGTAATATAAGATGGAACTAGGTTGTTGAGAGCTTTGTAGGATAGAAGCAAGATTTTGGATTCTATTCTGCATTTGACAGGGAGCCAATGCACACACACATGCGCGTGTGTGCACACACACGCCTATTTCTGAAACCTTTGAAGTATGAAGATACTTCATTAAACCAACTAACATTAGAGAATATTTATAGAGGAAAGCAGAGAGGGGTTTGTTTAAGGTCAGGGTTAATGAAAAGGCCTCAGGCGTTCCACGTGTCACAAGTCAATCAGCTGTAGGATAAAGAGAACCTGTTGGGGTCAGACAATTTTATAGTAGTTCCTCATTTTTTATTCCATAATAGTTTCATAAAAATAAAAATCACAAGAACTCCTCCCTTGTTGGTATAAAGTGCTTCTGTTGCAAACGCACCATAAATCCTTGATGAATTTGTCAGCCCGTCTGATCAGATCTATTTGTTGCAAATTTCACATGTACTAAAACTAATGGTTGATTCTTTTTGTCCACCATTGCTCCTCTAATTTTAAGTCCAGCTTGATGATTGTGTGTTTATCTGCAGATTTAAGCTGGATGGTGACTCTCAGGGCTGGCTGGAGATCAACGCTGCCACAGGAGAGATCAGGACCAAGGAGAAGCTGGACAGAGAGAAACTGGAGACATTTGAAATCACGGTCACCGTCTTCGAGAAGGGTAAGAGAAGCCTATATTTAAATGCACGTGGATTTGGCACCTAACAGGGTGAACATTATTTGTTTATATCCTATTTCATTCTAAAGAGAACCCAGAGAAATCTTCAGAGCAAGTCATCCATGTGCGGCTGCTGGACGTCAACGACAACATCCCCAAACTAACAGAGACGCAGGCTTTCATCTGCATGCAGGACATCAAACCTGTCGTCATCAAAGCAGAAGATAAGGACAGCGCTCCATTCTCTCAGCCGTTTACTTTCGCCCTCGCCAAGAAATCCCCCAACTGGGAGCTGCACACAATCGACGGTACGCTTGTTAAAAAAAGTCTCACACTCAAGGACAAAGCACATTTGCATATTCATATTTGTGTTTCCTTCTTTGCCTCATGTAGCCACATCGGCTGAAGTGCGTCTGAAGAAACAACCAATCAAAGAAGCAAACTTCTCTCTTAACATCAACATAAAAGACAACGCTGGTGTGGGAGTTACACAGGCGTTTGAGGGTGAGTCGACTGCCTATTATTGTCACAAAGGGCTGGCGCTGTTGAACCCAATGGTGCAGGCAGGCAAGGACTCAGGATAATATAAAATAAAGAATTTATTAACAAAACAAAAGAGTTGACAGGGCAGCAAAATAAACATGAATAAACAGGAGGTGCTTACATAACAGACAGACCTGTGGACATAAGACAATACCAGGACAAGGACTAACACAGAGACACAGACCTATATACAGGAAACACCAATTAGACTAAGTGATGACACCTATGAGTAATCACAGATGCCAGAGAAGGAGACAGAGGATGCAAGACAAGAACACGACACAAGATGGGGCTAGATACTAGAGAAGCACAAATGAAACAGAGAATCGAGGGAACACAGATATAAACACGACACCAAGGACAAGACCACAACTCCTACAATTACAAAGCTGAAGGATTAATACAACAAATCAGGTTATAACAAACAATACATTTATCTTCGTGTCAGAGTCACATACAGACTTACTGCCATAAACACTCTGACAGTGGTTTCTAAACTCTTTAGCTTCTGATCCCAAAAAACTATATCAGAGACTTGTAACCCACAAGTCTTCCTTTTGTATTGATAATCTCATAACCTTTCAACTAGTGTTTTGTGACCTAAAGCTGGGTTCTGACCCCAACTTTGGGAACAAGTGCTTTAGTAGTTCAGCTAAATAAGCAAATAAGTCCCTTAGGAGTTATTAGATACTTGACGTTTTCCATCTGGGGATCATAACTGAACAAATGACATCCTGAAATGGCCGCCATTAGCTTCCTTTGTTGGATGGCCCAGCCTTACAGAAAAGGTGAGGAGCTCCATTATCAGAGTAGAGCTCAGAGAAGAGCCGCTACTTCTTCACATCTAAAAGAGTCAGTTGAGGTGGTACGAGCATCTGATAAGGATGAGGTTTAGAGGTTTTCCACTTGGAGGAGATCCCCAGGGTAGACCCAGAACTTTCTGGAGGGATTATGTACCCTCTCTGACCCAGGAATAACTTGAGAACCCCCAGGAGGAGCTAGTGAGTATCGCAGAGGAGCAGGATGCTTGGGTTTTTCTCCTGGACATGCTGCCTCTGCGACACAATCATGGATAAGTGGTAGAAGATGGACGGAGGAGTTCAAGAATAATAAATAAATTGACACGTGATTAAATTTTAACCCTGTAGTCTGTTTGCAATTCAAGTTGAGTCCAACTTTATAGAAACAACTCTAAAAAACTCTTGCCCACTTGATGTGTTTTTAAAGTTTGTGTCAAGGTTCTCTCTAAAAAAAGATGGTTATGAACAGTTATTATCTTACCTGTTGTAGGTATCCCTTTGAATGAGCTCAGTTTGAAGAAAAGTTGTTTGCTGCTGTCTTAAAACATCTTCAGTCTCAATTTGTTTTACATCTGTTCACACAAACAGTATTTTATAAACCTGTACATAACCAGCAATTAAAATCTTATGATCATTTCGAAGCACAAGAAAATATACAGTCAGCTAGCTTTAGCACTTCTGTTGCTGCCAGGTTCACTTTCAGAAAAAAATGTCAGGATATTTCTGTCAGAATAAGAGTTTAATGTGAAAGTGTTCTCACATGAACTGCTTTGAGATTCTAGTCTTAACTGTGCGCTTGTGTAATGTTTGTGTACATATACAGCTTCAACATATAAGGTTTGATTTTGATACTTTTTGCAGCTCTTACTAAAGCCACTTCAGATGGCCCGATGGGATTTGCTTTTATGCAGAATATATATTGTTGTCTAAGCAATTAAAACAATAGATTTATTGGTAATAAGGGCTTCCAAGGTGTTTCTCTATAGACAACATTACTTTACTTGATACATTTTTTAATCCACCTCACTTTCGATCTGTAAATTCATTTTTGGTTATGTTGCTGCATCGATCCAGAAATTAAATTCTTATTTCTGCAAACTAAGATCATTCAAAGAGTTATCTACAACAGGTAGGATATTATTTGTTCATGCTGTTGCCACAGAACCCCACTTTAAAGTCTGTTTCATCAAACTCAACTATCCTGCTTGTTTCCTCTCTGCACACCAGTGAGAGTGTGTAACTGCACGACGCTGGGCTACTGCTACATCCCACCACACGGACAGGGATTCAAACCTGAAATCGGCACCACGGTCGGGATCCTGGCTGGAATTCTGGGATTCTGCAGTAAGTCTGACAAACACTGTCTATTACCTGGTCAAACCAGTAACTTTTATCTGGTTGACTCATTACATTTGACCTGTAAATGACCTTTTATGTATGTGTTTGTTTTCTTGTTCTAGTTATTATCTTTATCGTAGTGATCAAACGCTCAAGTAAAAAGAACAAGAAGAAAGACCTGGCTAATGAAGAGGAGAGGAACGCCATGATGTAGAGACACTTGTTGAGTTTTATTTATATATTGAAAATATCACAAATTACCCTTTAGGAGTTTGACAACTTGTACGACACACAAAGGACCTTAAACGTGACATTATATTTCATTTATCCACACAGTGCATTCACTCCAAGACTTTCCCCAAGTCTTCATCACCTGAGCATTCTTATGATGCCTCTTACAGCAAACTCAAGCTTATTTTAAACAAATTATACATAAATAAGCCTGTTGAAAAATCCCTCTCGTCACGTTTCAGATCCTAAATTGTAGTTAGTCCTCACAAGTATATACTTGCACTTTTATTTCAACCTATTTTATATATATTTTCAGAGTGGAGCATAATTAATAGCTGCTGTGCACATAAAATTAACTTGGTGCGTGAGTCCATGCCAGTCCATGTTCACACAGCTTGTCAATGGATTAAAATTATATTCTCAGACTGCTTCGTTAGCAGTTCCATCATTTCCTCTGACAATGTTGTTGTTTTTTTGCATCTCGGAGCCTGTTGCGTTAATATCTCCTGCTAATGAACAACAATTTTCATGTTTTTGTAAAGAGCTCCAGTTTCCCAATAAACAAAGAACCTGGGAATATTTCACTTGATGCTTGTGTGTGTGTTTCTCATAAGGGCTGCTGCTTCTTTTCTCTTGGTCAAACTTTATCCTGCTTTTACAGTCGGTACTTTTCTTTCCCCTTTCTTTCGTCTTGCTCGTCTGTCACCAAGCACTCGAGGCCTCGGCACCGTGAGATGCTCTGACTCATCTCTCTGACAGTGGGAGATGGACCACAGATTGTCGCTGGTGCTGAAAGGAAGATGGCGTGATTGTGAGCTTTTATGGCTACACAAAGAAGCGGCCTCAACACATGGAAAGCACATGTGAGAGTCGGAGTGTGTGGACATGTGATGCCGTGATCATGCATTCAGTCCATGTGTCACGTTTAGACGAGCTGTGTGTTCAGGATGAGTCAGTGAGCAGCCTGTAGCCACACGGAGCAACGAGGATCCCACTGAGCCCCACGATGACCTGCTCAACATGGAGCCTCTTCACTGTTTATGTCTGCTCTCCAACTGTATGATGTGTATCCCAGCAACACCTGCCACAATACACACACAAGTTGTGCAAAGTGCTGCAGAGGTGCAGGGAGAAATGTTGAAGGACGGAGGAGAGGAGGTGGAGAAAAGACAAGGAGAGTAAACCATGTGATGTATGACCTCCTCTTAATATCAGAGCATCACACACCTACACACACACACAGCTGACGTTGTCTCAGCCATGTCCTGGAGAAACCTTTTGTCCTAATATAGAAATATTCTACTGCATCAGAACTAAAGTGACATTTTGAAGCAGCTTGAATTACAAGTTTCTGATGAAGAGCCCAGTTTCAGCATCTTGCTTGTGTGCATTCGAAAGGAAATGTAAAACATTTAGGAGACTATATGTGATTTTCTGTGAGGACAGGTGTGAATGCTGAGTTACTGCTGAAGAAGCTGAAAGCAGAACAAAAGCTAAAGTTTGCAAAACAGATAAAAATAGCAAAGCCATAGTTAAACCCTAACTATAAATTCCAAATGATTATACAATTTATTAAAATTGCAGCTAAGATATTGGAAAACTAACTGTAAAGACTGAAATTAGCTAAACAGCAGAAAAAAGCTCAAATTAGCTAAACTGTAGTTTAAGCTTAAAATGTGTTAAACATTAGCTAAAGGCCAAAATCAGCAAATTTATAGCTAAAGGCTAAAACAAGCAAACAATAAATAAAAGCTAAAAAGGGTGTAAAAGACAAAAATAGAGCAAGTATGTTGAAACATTGCGCTTTCAGGATAATTTGACAGATTAGTGAGATGATTTCAAAAAGTGTAGACTCGGAGTATTCAACTGAACTGCTGAGGGGCCACGCCAAGAATTCACGGGCTGGACACCCAGCAGTTATTGTTATTAAGTTTGTTTTATGGTTTAAAATAAAGTTTTAATTACCGGTAAAAATGAACCCGGTAGGCCAAACCGAATTCACCCGTGGGCCTGATTTGGCCCCTGTGCCGTCAGTTGAATAGCCCTGGTGTAGATGCTGTAATGAAACAGATGTTTCACTACAGTCCCTTTTGTGAGGTAGTTTTTATTTAGGAAAAATGCAGGATCACATGATATTAAAACACTTATTAAAAACCATGATGCCATTAGCATTCCCGTTTGCGTTTTACGTTTTCAAAAGATGTCGGGACGTTATTTCTCTGTAAAATGAATCTTTGACTTACTGGCATAGCTTTATCACATTTTCTTTATTCCTGAAACATTTCTTATCAAACATTAAAAAAAGCTTAGTTTGTGGTGAAAGCTTTTACAAATCTTATATTTGCTACAGTAACAATTAGGTTTTTGGTAAAACAAGTAAAATATGTCATGTGTGTGATGCCAACAGTGGTATTAAACCACATGACAAAACTTGTTAAATTAATTTAGCACATAAATATACAGTATGTTCATTTTGACAATTTAACTTTCAGGCTTTTCACCTGGTGTTGTAGCGCTCCCTTGTGGCATTCAAGAGTCAAAGTCAGTCAATCTAAAATAAAAAACATTTTGAGGAACAAATGCTGTAAATTCTGATGAAACTTCTCACATTTGACGTGCTGACACATGAGCTGCGGTGATGACAGCCGTGGTAGTGTGGCGTCACCCCTGCATCCTGATGACGACCTGCAGTGTTCACAACAAAACTGCACCAAGGCGTGTGTGTTCAGCTTTTTATTACATGTACAAATTCTAACCCGCAAAAGTTACAATGTATATGAACAGAGAGGGTGTGAAACACACACACACACACAACATAAAGTGAATAAATATCTGATGATGAAACAGTCACTCGTTCCTTCTTTTACACACAGCCACAGAAATTCATGAACGTCTGCAGAGCATGGAGGGAAATAAAAGCTTCAGCCCTGGTGTTATTAATAAAACAAGAAACAAACCACGCAGATATGACCTGTCAGAAAAACTAACGAGACTCTCGACTCCCAACAGTGTTTAGAAAAATAAATGCCGGCCCAGGGAGGATTACAGACCTATGAAGAGACCCTCCAGCCAAAGAGCCATTACATCATACATGGAAATGTTATTAGTACTTCTCCAGATGAAGGAGTAGTTGATGATGTCAAACAAATCTTCATGATTTGGACTGGAATAAAAACAACTTTAAAAATGACAAATGTCTTGTTTCGTGACCTGAAATGTTAAACTGTGGTTTTTGTGTAACAGATTATCTCTGAACTCTTATCAACCTGCAGGTTGATCTTAAAACTTGCTGTTGCTATTACACAGAATCCAAATCATCCTCATCAGAGGAGGGAATGCCAGAAATGGATGATCAGGTCTAAATGGAGCAGAGCAGACAGACAGCACTGCCCAGGCTCAACAACCTACACTGAAATTATACCAACGGAACAAACACATGAATGGATGCAACAGTGCTCTTGGTAAAAATAATCCCTTAGAAGCGATGCAGAAAATATGTCTGGGGTGCAAATTGACAATAAGCTAATAAAAAGTTGATAGGGATCACTTATTTTGATAATAACTTGGCACAAATGTCAGTATTTGTGTGATGAGCAACAGACAGGTGTGAGAGCAGTTGTTGAAGAAAACAGAAATAATATTTTGTGTCAGATATTCTGATCACGCTTTGAACTCCGATTATAAAAAACAAACATTCTGTGAAACTGCGTATATAAATATAGACAAGTTCATTTACATAAATAGTGTTAGAACAGCTGGACAGATGTTTCGTACAGCCCGCTCGTGTGGATATGAAACCAGCTCAGGACTCTCCTTCCTGCCTCTGCGCTCCGATCACGTGAGGATTGAACTGCGTGACGATGATGGTGATGTCATCGCGGTACATGCGGGCCAGCTCTTCGGGCAGCGAGAGCATTTTGGACAGCCTCTCCTGGTCCACCGTGCCAAACTCGTTGTTTCCCACGGCGTGCCTCATCAGGTGGGTCGCTGCGTTCTGATCCTCGAAGGCCGAGGACATTCGGGTTTTTCGCTCTTCGAGCAGCCCCTGCATTTGTCCCAAAGTGACTTTGTAGCCTCCGACTTTGAGCGGCTGGCGCTGATGAACTCCCGTTAAATGTTCTCCGACTATGCGGATCACTTCCTGCCGGTGGAGGGTCTCCCAGAGGCCATCGGAGCCGATCACCTGGCAAAAAGAGGGCGAGGATGGTCATAAAACATCCACACTAAGCAAAACACAACTTTCACCATAAAATAAGTAAATTATTAGAAAATTAGCTAAATAATAGTATTTTTTTCCTCAAAAATACAACTTTATTTTTTTATTACAGACAAGAAATGCACTACAAATTGCATTTATAAACCCAGAAGTTGCTAAATTATTTTCATTAGCGCAAAAACATAAATAAACAGATCTAACCTTTTGTATTTTGGATACAAAAAGATGTCTTAAGAACAGAAACCACACTTTGAATGGGAATAATGGAACAAAAGGTTGTTTCATTAATCCTCAAAACTAATTCTACTAACTAATGCTTTTGTATTCAAGCCGTTTATTGTTGGGCATATAATAACAGATTTTGGTTGTATGAGCTAAAAGGACAGTTATCAGCTAAAATGAGTGGGAAAACATATTTTAATTCCTTATCACTTTGAGGTCCCAAATATTTGTTGTCAAAACAACATAAAAAAATTGAATAAAGAAATAGAAATCTTGTCCGAAAGGAAATGCGCCTCTTCTCTCACCAGGAAGCGATCCTGTGGTCGCAGTTTGTGGTGCGTGATCTCAGGCTCGGCAGTCAGATAGGGGGGCGTGTGGTAGTTGGGAGGGATGAACCTAGTGTGTTCGTTTTCATGGAGCTGATCAGGTCCAGACTCCAACACGCGCTTCTGCAGCTCAATGCTCCACTTGAACTTCACGTCCCCGAACGCTCGGAACGGCATGAGCAAGCCAAGCAATCTGTCCTGATAGAGAGGAAGAGAGAGACGGGAAAAAGTTTCAAAAATTGTTATAACAATAACAACTAGAGAAATTGCATTTCCTGCAAAAACGCAGTGTGAATGCTTATTGTAGAATAACTTGCTGAAAAACAGCTGAAATGGAATAGCAAGCCAAAGTTAGCTGAAGAAAGCAGAAATAAGACATATTTACTGAATAAGGTTAAAATAAGCAGAAATGAGCACAAAAATTAGGAATTTAGCTAAAAAATGAAATTAGAAAAAAAAAAAACGGCTGAAATGTAACTATAAAAATTTAAAAAGCAGATAGCTTAAATTAGCAGAAGGAAGTGGAGAGAGAGCACAATTTTGCCCAGTTAGGCTGAATGATCACCAAAACGATCACCAAAATGTGGAACGTTACGCATCTAGAAAAAAAGCTGAAATAAGCAAAAACAGCTGAAAAGTAGCAAAATAGCAAAACTTAAGCTTAAGTTATGAGATGGAAGTAAAAAGAGCAAAATTGTGCCCAATTAGGCTAAAAGAAGCCGAAATGAGCATAAAAAAGTGGAAATAGTCCAAAAAAAGCAGACATTTCCCCAAAACAGCTGAACTGTAGCTAACAAAGCAAAAATAAGCTTAAATTAACAGAAGGAAGCAGAAAGAGTACACATTTGCCTAATTAGGCTTTAAGAAGCAGAAATGAGCAAATAAAAAGTGGAAATTATCTGAAGAAAGCAGAAATTAGCAGAAAACAGCTGAAAAAAGCTGAAATAGCAGAAAAGGCTGAAAATTGCAGAAATAAGCTGAAAGGAGCAGAAAGAAGTTAGAAGCAGCACAACAATGTTGTAGTTAGCATAAAAATTCTGAAAGGAGCACAAAACAGCTGAAATTAGCTGGAAAAAGTTTAAATTTGTACAAAGAAGCTGAAAGAACGAGAACAAAATGTGAAAGGAGAAGTTAAAGTTTGTAAACAGATCTAAAGATTTGAAGGATGTAAAATGACGTCAATTAATTTTCCATGTGGAAAAAAAAAAATGTCAGAAAAGGCTAAATATTTCAAAAAGCTAAAGTTGCATCAATACCAAGTCATAGCACCCTTCTCCTGAACGAGCTGAACGTTTTGATAAATGATTTGTTGAAATAGCACAAAAATTGTGGAATGAGAGCGATGCTATAAAACGTATGAAAAAAAAATAGATCACAATAATGTGAATGTTTCATAAACATTCATACAATAATATTAAGCACTGCGAGTGGATTAGCCAGCTGCACTACCTGACGTATAACGGTCTTCCTCTCTGAAGCAGGGTGCTCACTTCGTATACGAGCAACCTCGTTCTCATTCTGGGCGTTGTGGTCATTAGACAAAGTGAGAGCGCTGAACGAACCGTCCTCCTCCTGCACCCCCAGCACGGCCCGAGCATCTCCTGCGTTGGCTATAAAGCTTCAAGGACAAAAGGAAAGAGGCAAAGAAACAAACGAGAAAAAAAAAAAATGCATTTTAGGTTCTTTAACAGGTTTGCCAGAAAGACAAGTTATGGATTTATAGTCCGTACAGATCCGGTCCATCGATGTGAGCAACACAGGCTGTTGCTCCGGAAAAGGCCACTCTCAGAACCCAGTAATGCAGAAAAGCGCTCGGGTCTCCAACCTGCAGGACGAACAGAGCTCTGTGATCATCAAAAAGTGACATCTCACAAGGTTCATATTTTATTTTTTATTGACATTTGTAGACATATTTCACATGTATACCTGCTTAGTCAAAGTATTCATTTAAATGTCATGGTTTTTTTTAAACACAGAGAAAAGCAACACAACATAAACATAAAGGGAGTGAAATGTGGTTATTGTTACACCTAATGCATCATTTAAAAATAGCAAAGTCCAGATGTGGTCTATGGGATTTTATGTAAACCATCCATTTCTTCCAGTGTAAAGTAAACTGGTCCTTCTTGTCATTTACTTCTGCAGTTATTCTCTCCATCCTATACATGTCCATTGTGACGTTCATCCACATGCTAGGCTGTTGGAGTCAGCCTGCCCACCATCACAGACATCTACATCTCTAGATGCAGGAAGACAGCCACCTGCATCATGAAGGACCCCACTCACCCAGCACACACACTTTATGCCCTGCTCCCCTCAGGCAGGAGGTTGAGAAGCATTAAGTGTAGAACCACTAAACTGAGGAGCTTCTATCCTGAGGCTGTTAGACTCATGAATCCCTAATCAGGATTATCACTGTGGAAAAAAGAATCACTGTAATGCCACTTGATTGTTGATATGTGCTGCTGATTATCCATACTGCTGATTTATTTCATGTTGCTGTGTTCATTCATACTCATCTGCTCACACAGACTCACGTTCTTGCTGCTGTTCGGTGTATTATTTTTGTGCTATTAGTGCTTAGTGTATTTATAGTTTAATGTTTTTCTTAGTATATACCTTAGATCTTATTACTATTTTTCTTTTAGATTTTATACTTTTGTTGGATGTAACTGGGACCCTGTGTACACAATTTTGTTCCACCACATGTACCACATGTGGTGTGTATGACAAATAAAGAAACTTTGACTTTGATGCTCAATGTTGGGCTCATCAGTGTAAGACAATTTTTCGTGAGGGCACAGCTTTAACAAAATACTAAACAAATGTTTGTCTATCTTTGGCCGTCCTTCAGGCATGAGTCCAGAAAACAACACTTTACTTTCCAAAGGGAGTTGACTTCCATAGTATCTTGTATTGCATTATGCATCTCCTTCCAGTAAGTTTTAATGACCTGACAGTCACAAAAAACATGATAATGATTCACAATTATATTTCCACAATTTCTCCACCAAGCTGGAGAGTTATATTTATAGTGGGATTTTTGGTCTAAAATTGTTGTGGATTCAAGTCACTTTGGGCTATTTTTTAAATTAATTATCAGGAGTGTGTTTAACTGTGCTGCCATCCTCTAGCTCCCCGGCCTGGAAGTCCAAGGTTCATATTTCAAGGAGAGGTAGTGATAACCAAGCTCCTCTTGAAGCATACAAAATAAAATTTAGAGGCTCTCATTTTTATCATAAGCATTTCTTAACGAGTAAAAAAAACATCAATCAGATTTGGCACTTAGGTCATTACACCCAAGGAGCAATTTGGAATGCAACATTCCTTCTTTAAAGAGGCTTTAGCCATAAATAATGGAACAGGATAGTCCCAGTTCAAACACTTTCTTACTTAAGAGCCCTCGCAGCACAGTTTCATATTAAAATCACAGTTCTCACCTGAGCTTCCAGAGAAATGTCATTGTCAAGCCTTTTGAAGGCATTCAGTAAGGCCTCTCGTGTGTCTGGGACCTCTCCTGGGCTAGAGAGAGAGCGACATTGAGAAAAAGACAGACATGAAGCAAAGGGGTTTACAACATACACCGACAACAGTGTTGGTGAGGGTGTGCTGCTACGATGTACAAAATAAGAAACCAGAAAGTCCTGTTTCAAATATTCACCAGGCCACAGAGAAGTTAAAAAAAGGCAAATATGTGCACACACTTGTGTGAAAGACTTGCACTGTGTGGTTGCTGAGTGTCATCATGGGCTCCTCACCTGGTTAGGTCTATTAACTCTTGCCAGTATGTTCGCAGGCTGTTGAAGTAAAGGCTCTGAGCCTCCCGACTGAAGTAGTCATTGGGGTGTTTGTGCCACTGCAGGATGGGACTGAGGGGCCTGCCGCTTTCCACCGCAGCCTCGAGCTCACACAGGGTGTCATGGGGAAGTAGTGAAACTGCTAAGTAGTAAAACAATCTCTCACTCAACGCCTGGCAAAGGAGTCAAATAAAACAAAACATTCTGAATAAGAAAACCGTGTCACTGAAACAAGAAAGACAAAAAAGACAATACAGACGCTTAAATTAATAATATTCATGATTTTTGTTGTGCAGGATAGCAGATGAATGAAAAAATTCACTTAACTAAACATGATCTGGTGCACAAAGTTAAAAAATGGTTTCAAATGTGGGTGAATCTAATTTGCTTTAAGACCAATTCAAACAAAATTATATTAAACTAACTGGCTGAAATTTATTAAACAGAGAGGTGAATTGTGACTAAAACAGGAAAATGGCCTGAATTACATTCTTTAAGCTTTCTAGATGTCCAACAAGCAAGAGTGAGACAGTACTTAATGAATCATTTAGTATTTTAGTAAGAAGTTAATTACACATAAACACAGAATTCCTTATTGCTCTCTGACAAAGTTTTAAACCAAGATTTTAAACAATCTATTAGTGCTAGGAGTATGTGTTGGGGACAAATTTGAGCTACTTCCACACTAGTTTAACTCGATATCTGTAAAATTTATCACACTATAGACATTTTTGTGTTTGCTAAGGTCAACTAACTTTGGTAGCCATTGTGAATCAAGCTGACTACAAAACTTATTCAGTTTTAGATGTACATTTAATCACCATTTTTTGAGTTTTGGTAAAATCTGTCCAGTGGATCAAGTGATAAAGAGCAAACTTGAACGAGAAATTTAGCAATTATTTTATGCAGATGCACCTCCAGACAACCTGGTCTCAAATCTCCAGCCTCATGATAACCCGAGTGCTGTGGCCCCTTCAAACAAACAACAACAACAAAAAAAAACAGAATCAAAACATAAATTTCAGTAGGTTCACCTGAGCGCAGGCACAGCCAGCGTGTCCATCAAACACACCCAACAGCATTCCTCGGGTCTGGAGACATGTAGCGGCGCTCCGACGATCTTCTATCGGAGCGTTGGCAGGAAGCTGATTGCTTTCAAAACCCATCACTGATGATACATTTTTCCCGTCAAACTCTGGTACCTGAATCAAAGCAGAGAAGCAAATGTTAGGATGAAAGTGTAAACATTCACTCAGTGAGACATAATATCTGTACAAGACCCTACAAACCTTGAAGCTGTACTCGTTGGCCTTCAGAATAGAGTTGACCTGTGGTGGGGTGAGGATGTAGCTGTGGAGCCTTGAGGATGTCTGGTAGCTTCTCCCCGATCGATGTCTCTGCCTTAACGCAGGCATTGGAGCGATGAGGCCAAACTGGGATTGGTGGTGTTGACATGGTACCAAACTGGATACAAAGACTTTGGCACGGGGCAAACCCCTGAGCAGCTGAGATGTGACAGGCATCACTGACTGTGCACTAAAGCACTCAAACACCACACCACCAATGTGTACACACCTGATGAAGAAGCACATTTAGACCAATCTGTGAGCAACAACTGGAAAAAGACGCATGCAACCATGGAGAACAAAGTGTTCTCTGTATGAACCATTAAACAAACACTGTGCAAACAAGTGGAGATGACCTGATAGGGTTTTGCTGTAGGAACAGACTAACAGCTCATAAGAAACACAGTCACAACAACCGGATCAAACACAAATACCCAGAACTGATAACATTAAAACATTTAAAAGGTTATGCACTAACCTTGTACTGGAACAAGTAATTAATCCCTACTATGAGCTTTTTTGTTGTTGTCGTTGCTTCTGACTAATTTAGATGAAATCTAATAGAACAGGTTGTTGATTAACTGATTTTCTGTTCCCTGAAAGCCTTGCTTCTGACTGGACCCATTTCCATGAGGTGAAATTCAAGTTCAAGTTTATTTAAGTCATCTCTGAATCCTCTACAAATTGTCCAGAATGCAGCAGCTTGTCTAGTAATTGGCACAAAGAAGGGAGGACACATAACCCATATTTTGGTACCTCTTAATTGGCTCACAGCTTTTTTGTAAATAAATTTTAAATTTTCATTCTTAACATTTAAAGTTTTAAATGGTCTGACAGTGATATTTACCTGATTTTCTTAACCTCAACACATAAGAGCACTCTGGTCAACCAGCCTGTTTCTCTAAGCGATCAAGAACCAGATTAAAATATAAAGATGAGCAGGCTTTTGCATAGGCTGCTTTAAACCTGAATAACAATTAATCTTTCAATATACACAGCTCAGACTATAAAAACTTTTAAATCTTTGCCTAAGACCCAATATTTTTTACAATGGTTTTTGATTAAAAGAAGACTTTAATAAATTTTGTTATCTTCCACTTGCCTTTAAATCAGGTTTTTATTTAATTTTATTTTTTAAATTGTTGTATTATTTGGTTTGATAAAGCATTTATCATGTATAGGGCATTCTGGTCAATCTCAGTTCTTTGAAATGTGCTTTATAAATCAAACTGACCTTGACAATTTGTGTCTCAATGCATCAGAAATCTAAACACTTCCAATAGAGGTCAGTCTTAAAGTGAATTTCAGGGATCAGACAGGAGGGGTTAAGTTTAGGAAATGAAGGAGATCAGGGATCAGCTGTGCATGTACAATGAGAGGATGTTTCTGGTGAAACTGCACTGATTCATTTGTTTATTTTGCATGGACATATTGCTCAGACATCCTGCTTCATGTGCATTAGATGCAGGAATGTCAACCTTAGAATCTACTTATGCAACTCTCTGCACATCATGTGTCATAATCTTAGGTAAAGGTAGTGTAGAGACTCGTGCAGATGCAATAAAGGCTACATTTTACCCTAAAAAATAACTTCGGAAATGCAGCAGCCTCGCACTCCTTTACAACTGTCAGTCAGCAGTGCTGCACACACAGTTAAAAATAACTCCAGTAATAATTCAGTCCTGACATTTGGGTCTCCAGAAATGCTTTGACACTGCCAAATGAACTTGGACCTGACAGTGGCCCTTCATAAAATCCTTTACTTTCCAAATATAATCTGCAGCCTCTGAAAAAAATCCCAGCATGTCTCACCTCTGAATAAATATTGAAGCTTCAACTTGACAGCTTCCATGCCTCTCAGCCGATTTTATAGCACTTGTCCTAAAAGCTGAATCCATCGGATTTAGCTAAGAACCCTCCCCCAAACTCAAGCGGTAACACAGAAAACGAAGGATCTGTCTAAACTCTGAAACAAACTTGTAGTTTGTTGACATTTTAGGCTTAGCTCCTCCGAGCTAATTTACAAAGCAGATACACATCCCGCGCTATCCCCAGCCAGCTAACATCAGAGCAATGTCAGTGCTGTTAAACGATGCCACGATATAGTAAAATGAAGCCACGACGACAGAGAGGCTCTTTAAATTCAAACCGAAGAAGTCATAACAATAAAGCTGTCAATTTTAAGCTAACTGTGTAGCTAGCTGTGAGTACAGGTTACACCCACTGACTACGGTCAAACTGCCTTGGACCCTGTGCATTTACTCCCAAGGGAAGTAAATGCAAACCTGGGTGCGTCGAAGGCTAGAAAGCGAAGAAAAGTCTGCTCTTACCTCAACCGACGAGTGTGAAGAATTTATCCGAGTTCATGGCTTTGGCTTGATGCCGACGGAGCGTAGGTCCTCAGTCTCTAGCTCCTGAGCGCCTCACCACAAGCTGAACGCTGATTGGCTGAGCCCTTGGAAACGCTTTGACGTCACACTGGGCTCTATGCGCACGCAACGTGTCGCAGCTTGAAGTCCTCTGATGAGTAGAATGAACCTCTCTTTCAGCATTTCTTTCATTCTGGTTAATACATTTGTTTTGGTTTCTTTTCACAAAAGAGGCGCACTGAAAATATTTAAGTACGTTTTCCCATATAAGCAACAAATACAATCTTAAGAAAACCCAGCACAACATATTAGGCTTCAAGAATTTGTCAAATTTTAGCTTAGTGTTTTTACAGTGACACTTTAGTCTTGGAGCTCTAATTAACTTTGTGTGTAATTAATTATAATTAGCCAATTCCAAATATGGGCAGTCTGACTGAATAGATATCCAATTTGCAATCAAAACTGGTCCAAATATATGATTTATTCTTTTTAAACTGAACACTTCTCGATCAGAATGAGGTAGTGCTTTAAACTTAGTCTTAGGGCTTAAAATTAGTTAAAACTTACTTGTTTATTAAGACTTTTAATACCTGAATTTCTTGTTTTTGTTTTTTTTTTAATATTTTTTCAATTGTTAAGTAGTTTAATTGATTTGGTATACTTTTGTGTTTCTGATGTCATTTATGATGTTATTTTAATTGATTAATGTGAAGCACTTTGTAACATTTGTTTGAAAGGTGTTATACAAATAAAGTATTATCATTAAATTATTATCAGAAAAGGCTCTTATCACACTCACACACACAATACACACACATTGATGTTTTTGATTTTATTGATTTTATATGAAAAGTTAATTTAAGAACAAATTAATCCAAGCTTCTTTTTTTTAATTTCTCAAAATTTTGAATATAGATATATATTTTTCTAATTTTAAAATCAGTCAGTTGACAAATAGGTATTTGTATTGTATATTAGGAACAACTGTAATAATAATAAAAAAAAAACTCAACGCAAGCATGGCTTTATATCAAAACAATTTAATCAATTTAAAAAAAAGAAATGTTTTCAGAAACAAACATGTTTAATCCAATACAGCAGTGAAAACATTGTACACTTTGTGGAAAATACAAAACAATATGAGCAACATGTAAAATTAAACACATGTGTAAGAAATGCCACTTTACGAAATTTAAAAACACAACAGCAAACGTTTATATCAGAAATCTCTTATCCACCAGTGTTTTATTGACGAGGTTCCTCCTTCCAAGACTGTTGCGAAGCAAACAAAATAGCTGCAAAACACAAAACAATTTCAAATCCTCATGCTTTACTTTGCTCAGAGAAGACAACACTCTGCACAAACATCATATACTGACCGTTTGTTGTATGTATGTGAGCACAGCTGCAAGCACAAAGTTCTGAGATCCCAGGTCAACAACACAGAAGAATAAAGTGTCAAAGATCAGCAGCGTGGCCTCATTTCCATAAAACAGCACATTACTGAAGGAGTGGGCCTCATCTGCAGACAGAAATGCATCTTATATATAGACATGCAAATAAAAAAGGCAATAAAAATAAAACAATGTAAGTTTGTTACCGTTATAAAACAAGCTTTTATCACTTGCTTCAATGAACTCCATCCCCAAGACCCTCTCAAACAACAGCTTATCCCTCACTGTGTAGTCCATGTCAGAATGGCTCTGGGGTAAACAATTTAACACAAACACAAAAAAACAAACATGAACTGCATCAAATCTGCTTGACAAACATACATGCAGTCAGGCCAACTAAGTGAGTTTCTTTGTGCTTACATGGTCAATAACAGACCCCAGGAAGTGGTTCATGGTGTTGTAGGCTCTGACCTGCAGCTCTGATAAGTTGGCTGTGGATGCATCCATCAGCCGTGAAGGTCTGTTCCTCTGAGGAACAGGAACCATTGAAACAGAAGTTTGGGTATATTTTTTAATATGAAGTTTGAAACAGAAGAAACAAACACGATGGAGCCCATACCCTGCTGAGTGAATCCTGTATCCTGTCATACTGCATCCTCAGACGGTTGGTGATAGACACCTGAAATGTCTGAATGTCCGAGTTGGGAACCAGACCCCGTTGACCACACAGAGACTCCTTAACACAGGAAGAACGAAGATCAAAATAATAAAGTTGTAATATCGATCATTTATATCAGGTAGAAAAAGTAGTTTGTTTACATACTCGCTCTCTCTTCAGATTGTTGTTCATTTCCTCCATGTTTGAATCAGCGTGGCCGTGCACTGAACGTCCATGGATGTAATACCCGAAACAGCGATGGGACAACAGCATCACAGAGATCTACAAAACACATATACAAACCACCTTTAAATAAAATAATACAGATGGAAAATATTAGAAAGGAAATGTTTGTGTACCTACATTACTGACAGAGCAGAGATCCACAAACTGACGGATCTTGTCCTCTACAAAGTGCTCGTAAAAGACTGTGAAGAAAATCCCCTGCGGGGACACGTCTGTTAAGAGGATCTCACAAATTATATTTCTCTGAATTCTTAATAGTAGTGAAAGATACAATAGCAGTGACAATAAAAAACAACAGAAAGATAAAAGCAGTGATTTACTTGCAGAAGTCCAATGCAGAGCCACAGCGTGGCTGCAACACCGTATCGCAGAATCAGGCTGTAAGGAGGGATGTACGCCTGTGGGGGGCGCTCTAAAGTTGACCAAGGGTCTCTCAGAGCCAGGTTAGAGAAACCCAGCACCTTCATACAAAACAACATGTTAGCAAAGATGAAAAGAGACACATATAGTCTCACAAATAAAACAAGGAAGACATGTTTTTCTTTTCGTAAGATATACTTCCAGAAAGAAGAGAACAGCCATGATCTGAAAAGTTGGGCAGATCTTGCGGATGGTTTGGAGCTCGTTCCACTCATTGGCCACGAAGTAGGTCCTCCAGATGCTGACTGGAGAAGATTCATGTTTTGTATCCTCGACACCTGAAACAGCAGAAAATAAGCTCAACTGGAAACAAACCTGTTCTATAATTATCTCACAAAATGACAACTTAATTTTATCTGTACCTTGAACAGATCTGTTTGGTTTACTCCGAGGTCTCTCCCAGTCAATTAGAAAAATGTCAACTGACACCTGCAGGTAAAGCTTGTGCAGAAACTGAACAGCCTGGATCCAAACACACAAAGTAAGACTTGTTTTTTTAAATTTCAAGAAAAACGCATACCCAATTAAATTGAATGAAAATCAATACCACTCCGTTCAACAATGGACCTTACCTTGAGAGCAAAGGCACAACCGATGTACGTAACGAACTGCTCCTCCTGAGTAGGTAGTGGCAGCAACACTGATACAAACTGTTGGGCCTATATGTGCGCACACACACACACATCAACTCAGAATGTAGCCAAAAACAATATGTTAAATCTGTACAAAGAAAAGTTGGTAAAGAGGCAAAAAGGCAGAAAAAAAACTTGCCTTCAGAGTCTAAAGAATGCAGAAATGGAAAGAGAAAGTGTTAAGAGACCATGCAAAGACAAAGCAAAAACATTGTCTGGAAATATTTTGTGAAATAGAAGGAAAGAAGGAAAAAAACTTCCATAAAAAAGGACAAATTGATGCAAACTTTACTGAGACCCCATCTAGAGTTTTAGCCGGTGAGACATACCTTGTAAAAGATTAGCCAGTAAAGTCCAGTTCCCACGGTGACAACAAAGAAAACATTGGCCAGATCACCAGCAAAAAACAAAAGAAATTTCCCAATGGTCTGAAAAGATCAACAAACTATCAACACTAATTCAAAGCTTTAGACACATGGTATTCAGTGACTTAAATGATGATACGGTACCTCCACATCAATGAGGGGAGAGGCAATCCTTCTTTTATAGCTGACTGTCTTTAGGAGAGCGCAGAGCACGGCCAACCCACTCAACACACCGAGAGCAGTCTGCATACACAAAGCCACCGCTGAAGCTAGGTCACTCTGTGCTGCAAAATCAGTCATGTACGAGAACATTTCCTAAGTTCAACATTTCAGACATGACCCTACTCACGTCTGTCTTTGTACGAGCATCAGTTTGATCCATCTCATACTCCACGGCAAAGGTTACCTGGACACAGATAAATTTGAAGCACATGTTTAAAAAAAAGGCTTTTTTTTTAGAAAAATAAATAAAGAATGTGATGGGGAAGCTTGAGGTTAGACACTGAGTGGTAATGCTTAAGGTGAAGTTCACTGTGCCTTAACTCAGTGGGCTACAAATAACAAATGTGTGTAAATGTACTCACAGACACAGTTTGAGTATTGACATCTGTGATGGGAACATCTGTGTAAGTCACAGATATCAAAGGGGGAAATACTTGACCCTCTCGGGTTCGCGGAACAAGCTGGAATCTACAAAATACACATTTCAATACAATCGTTTCTATTTCAGAAAAAGATCCCAGACTCATCATTTTCCATCCTGATAGTTTTACCTTATTTTGACTGTGGTGGCCACACGGATGACTTTAGGTACAGAACCTAAACTTTTTTCCCTTCCACTCAGGGTGTCAACCAGAAACATTCGTCGAGACAGGTACCAGTTCTTCATAATACCTACAGAACAAAATAACACTCATCAAATAATTCATGCATTTTGTTAACTTAAAAAAAATTTAATCTCACCCTGATTGATGAATTGTCCATTGTATTGCTGGTTTTGAACCAACGTCGGCAGAGGAAGAAGTTTTTTGTTTTGTCCTCCTCCGAGGTCCATAAAGACATCATAGAACAACGGTTCAGAATGTGTAACCAAAAGAGCAGCTAAGGAAAGATCACACTGCACACACACACAAACAGCATATAAGATGCAAAAATAGCTTCCATTAATTTTATTAACTAAACAATTCAAGAGACACTCACACTTTGTTGGTAAGCAGTTCCAAAGCTGAAAGCTGCTGCTTGTCTGGTTGCTGAATCTGGACAAAACTACAAAAAAGGAGACAGTGTGGAGTGATTACAATTTTCCTGTCATGCATATTTTATTCAAATCACATGGAATAATTACATAGTTTAGTCAGAATTAAACATTTCAAAAGAATAGCAACTAATACATGCATGAGTAAAAAAAAAACCGAACTGGTTGAAAATAATAAAAAAAAAATTGAGGTTTGACTCTAAAACCAAATTATTTGGATAAATAATACATTTCAGGGATCAGTGGTCTTTAAGTGACTCTCAGATGATAAAATCAGAGCAAGAGTTTCTTTATTTGTCACTCGCACCACATGTGGTACATGTGGTGGAACGAGATTGTGTACTCAGGGTCCCAGTTACATCCAACAATAAAATGTAAAAGAAAAACAGTAATAAGATCTAAGATATGAACTAAGAAAAATATCAACTAAAAATATGCTAAGCACTAGTAGCATAAAAACAATACGACGAACAGCAGCACAAACATGAGTCTGTGTGAGCAGATGAGTACAAATGAACACAGCAACATGGAACAGATCAGCAGCAACATGATGAGATTTATCACAGTGATTATCCTGGTTAGATATTCATGAGTCTAACAGCCTCAGGGTAGAAGCTGTTCCTCAGTCTTGTAGTGGAAATGGAAATGTCTGCTGACACTTTCTGGCAATAGGTGCTATAAAAGTAAAGATGGTGCGAAAAACCAAAGCAAGACTACAACAACTCAGGCAAATAAGGTCAATAAAGTCTGGATGTTCACATCTGATCCAATTATCTGCATTGAGAAGGGTAGTTTGGCTCAAAAGGTCTGAGCTAAGACACAAATCTTGTTTGCTTGAAGCCAGAAAAAAACTCTGATTTGATCCCAAGCATACTGAAATCTTACCTGCAGGTTACTTCCTCCTAATTGCTCCCATCTAAGGAACTCTCCTCTGACATTATAGACAGCCACAAGCAGCTGAAGGTCTGTATTCTGACATAAACAAACAACAAATAGTCTATCAGGATAAAATTTCTGCTTTACAGCTATGGTAAGTAAAATAAAACCCAAAGTGAATGGGGAAATCTTTTAAATGTGGTTACCATATTTTTGTGGCCTTCTTTCTTTGCAACTTTTCTTTTGTAAATATAACATAGTTAGCCATTTACCTTTTTTGTTCCCCTGAAGCTGAAGACAATGGGAATGGGATCCGTTAAAAGTATTCGACTTGCCAGCCCCGGCTCGTCCCCGTAGTAAAGCCATGGAAGGTTTACTCTCCTGCAAGCAGAAAAACCACAACTGTTGGACTGAAACCAAATTAAAGCAAACTTGCTGGGATTCACAAATACTGTACATAGAAATTGAAAAGTCTAAACATGGTTACCAATAAGCAATGTCTTGAACTGAGCTTAGAGTGGCTTTTGATCTGAAGATAGTGTTGAAGAGACCACAAGCATCATTGGACAGACCACTGAAGGAGTGCATATTCATTACGCACATGTTCCCGAGGGCCTGACATGCTGTCAGGTCTGAGAAGATCTGTAAGAAGATAAATTTACACCAAAAAAGCTAACTGAACTCACATTTGAGTAAAATCCTTCCATCACCTTAATAAAACTGGAACACAGTGGTTCTGATGTGTGTTAAAATCTCAATATTCAACACTATACACCTTATTAATTGTTGCTGTATTTAACTATTCAGTTAAACAGGTTTGCTACAATCTGATGTGTGAACATTAGTGAATGTCATTATTACTATACTATGTTTTTTAAGAAATAAAATTCTTAGGATTACAAGGCATGCTGCAGAAGACGAGTAGAGGTTTTCCACAAACCAGGCAGACTGGACGCTGAACTTCTGCAGGGGAGAACATGAGATGATATCAATCAGTCAATCAATCAACTTTATTTCTATAGCACATTTTAAAAACTGCACGGGTGGCCAAAGTGCTGTACAATAAGACAAAAAGATAAATTAAGACAACATACAAAGCATACACAAAGAAACATAAAAACATACACATACCAGTTTCACAGCAGGTGTGTTTTGATACATCAGAACAGAAAAAAATCTGCATGACTGTGCCTAGTGAAAGACAAAAAGTCTCACCAGCTGAGCGTAGTTGACACTGGGGTTCACAGCAGTCGAAAGGCTGCCTGAAGGGAAACACAATCCTCCTGCCTACAAAAAACAAAAGCATTTATAAACCACTCATGAAATATGTTATTTTCACAGGTGTTCATTTTCACTGTTTGAAAGTAGTGAGATGTATGAACTCACCAGGACATTAGGAGAAGTACACACACAGGAGGTGTTTATGAATGTAGCCTGACATCTTTCACACCTAAACAACACATTTAAACGAATGGTTTTGTTAAAATCAGCCTTCTTTCCATTTGTGCAATAAAAATACAGTTTCGGTGATCATAAAGCTGAAGTGAGAGCAAACAAGTATGAAGCCCAAACACAGTATGTTATGAAAAGAAAAAACACTGAAATGATAAAGGTCAGGAGCTTGTGATCTGAGACACAGAGAAATAAAACAATTGAAATACCGGTCCTAAGCCAAAAGAAAACAGACATTTTTATCAAGAGTTAAACACTTTTGTTTTCACACAAGCTTACAGTATTTCAGCAAAAGTAGAAGACATTAGATATATATATAGAACATCTTGTGCTCATGCGTGAATATCCATCCATCCATCATCTTTTACTCGCTTCTTCCTTTTCGGGTCATGAGGGTCACTGGTGCCCATGTCCAGCTATCACTGTGTGAGAGGCGGGGGACACCCTAGACAGGTTGCAAGTCCATCACAGGGCCACAGAGACAAATGAGACAAACAACCATTCACTCTCTCACTCACACCTAGGGACAGTTTAGAGTTACCAAACAGTCCAACATGCATGTTTTGGTCTGTGGGAGGAAACTGCAATGAGAGAACATGCAAACTCCACCCAGAAAGGCCCCCGGCTGGGTTTTGAGCTGGGGCGACACGCTCGTTGAGAGGCAGCAGCTCTACCAACTGTGCCACCATGCTGCCCTACAAATATTCAATGTATTGTAATGAATATTCAGGTTGAGTCAGGAAAGATGAAATGTTTCAACAAAGACAAATCTGTCCAGAGGATTATTGTCTTGATTAGACAATATCTAAAATGCTGAACATGAGACACTTTAATCAGCATTTTTTGCATGTCAATCCAAGTGATAATGTACCTGTCGCCACTGATATTTGGTACAGACAGAGCAGGACTGTCCCCGTTGCACGCCTCACATTTGGCCTCGTCCAAAAGGTTTCCATTAATATCTCTTTCCACTGAATAAAGAAAAAAGGACATATTCTTTCTTTCCTAACTTTTTTCCACACTGTGCTCAATTTTAAACTTTTACAAATAAGCTTTACAATTGATTTATTTTATTAATTGTAGCAAATTTTCCAATAACTTCTTTTGACATTGATGACTAACCCAGGATACTTCCTGATGAGCACAGACATTTTCCCTCATCGCTAAGGCTGCCCGGACAGCGAATACACCCAAACCCGTCCTTTGTGACTGCCTGTAAAGACAGCAAGAAAGCATTAGTCAAACATTAACATACTACATGTTACGGTGACAGTGTATAATAGACCTTTATTTGAACTGAAACAAACTGAAGGTAATTTGCACATACAGGCTTGTCGATGGGACACTTGTCACAAGCAATAGACACTTTATCTGAGCTGAGATTTGTTGTTTTGTACCCAGTTTGGCAAATGCAGCTCAGTCCTGCAAAAACAAATAAACAAAAAAGCCAAACACTTTCAGATAAGGAACAATTATTTGTCTATCAGTGGGGGATATAGATGAAACACAAAAATAGCAAAAAAACCAAAAAAAAAAAAACATCTGCACATTTAACAGTCATTACATTTTTTCCAGTGGACTGGTACAGCAATTTGAAAACGTTAGCAGTAAACTAGCAGTTAGGTACTAGTAGCTAGCACGCTAAGGTTTGCGTGACGGACCATATTACTCCGAAAAGTAGAACTATTACGTAATGTTTAGTATGTGAAGTCGTTTGTAACTATGTTGTAAGATAAAAAAAAAACAGACCTGTTGTGCTCTGTCGCTGATTTGAACCACACTTCGCGCACGACAAACTCGAAATGTCGAAGAATTCCTCCGCGCCACAGTCTGAAGGGGCCGTAAAGGGGATGATAAACTGTTGACAGTCAATGTGACCGATATACATTAAAAACAACAATGTTAAAAGCGTTCGGTGAACATTAACAACAAGCAGAGGCGTCCCCGTCGCCATGGTAAACAACCGTCATCCGTTTTACCCACAATCCTTCAACGTGCGTGATGACGTCACAATTCAATTCAGTTTATAGCGCCAAATCACAACTAGTTGTCTCAGGGCACTTTACAGGAACATTCACATACATAAAAGCCAATTAGTAAAGTTCTCTATCTAAGGTCACAGAAAACATTAGTGAGACGCAGAACTCATCCATCATTTAGTGGAAAACTGTTGTGCATAAACTTATTAATTGGGTAAGTCTGGTCTCTCCCGCACATTTTTTTTTTTTTGCTCACTAATAAAGTCAAAGAAGTTTATTTTAAATTAATTAACAAGTTTTATCCAACCAAGCACTTTCTTCAGAAATACAAAGCTGACATTGATATCAAGCGTTGCAGAGACATTGTATTCATCTTTTTTTGGAAATGTACTCGGAATTTTTGGAAGGACATTGTTGCTCTGATATCCAATAATATCCAACCAGGTTTCCTTCTCCATTTTGAAAATGTTCTGTTTGGTACCCTAGATTTCAAGACGAAAGCACTCCTCTCACATATTTCTCATCAATCTGATTTTATTTTTTTGCTAAGTTCCATATCCATAAAAGTAAAAACTCACATTTATTCCTGTATTTTATCGAATTAATTTTATTATTATTTGTTACCGTAATTTTCTGACTATAAGCCGCTACTTTTTTTACAGGCTTTGAACACAGCGGCTTATACAATGCTGTGGCTAATTTATGGATTTTTGTTTTTTGACAGGCTAACGAGCTTCCTGCCACCAAAATATTTAGCCTCGTCACACCCGGACACTCGCATAGCTGCCCAATACGCATCTCTCCTGGGGGTGTCCTTGTGACTCAATGAGACTACCTGTATAAATAAAGGTAAAAAAATAAAATAAAATCTGACCTATGAAATTATTAAGCCGGTCACAGTGGACCAATGAAACGAGGAGTGGAGGAGAGAACGAGGAGGGGGAACTTGTGCCCCTCCCTGAGGGCACAACAAAGTATTTGTAGCCACTTGATATCAGAGTGAATCGTGTAGTAAGGTGACACTCCCAAGTTCGATAGGAGGCTTGGATGACTGGTGGCGAAAAATTGTTTACCAAAACTGATAAACAAAACCAGTAAAGCAAGAAAATGGATCAAATGTTTTTATAAGGCTGCCATTTCCAATCAGTTAATCAACAGCAGCTAAGAAAGTTTCTGAGAAAACTGCAAACGATAGCAAAGCACGTAAGACATTAAGCCAAACAGAAAAGGTGATTATAATTAGAAACTGCACCTAAAACATATGATCTTGTAAACAGAGTATTTAGGGTTTTTAACAGATTAATCTGGAATAATTTATGATGGGAAACTGTAGAGGATGACTATAAAAGCCATGTTTTAATGTATGAATTAAACATATAACTGAGAGTTTGTCTATAAGAACTGTGTGGATGAACTGTGTCTGAACTCAGCTCTGGTGCAGGATAACAATAGGCAGGTATCAAGGCATGAAGCAGAAGATCATGAGGTCACTTGTGTCCTAATAAAGGCAGAGGCTAAAGCGCGTCTTCAATGAGATGTATTTGGTATGTGTGAGTTCTTCTTTTGGCTTTTCCCTCTTAAGGGGTTGTCGCCACAGCGAATCGTTCTTCTTCCTCACACTCTGTCCTCTCCATCCTCTGTCCTCACTCCAACTACCTCCATGTCGAGTTCAGTTGATATCAAGCCATATTTACAAGGTGTATGTAGTCTATCAGATGTGATCACTGTGAAATTATATGCACTGAAGTTATAGAAGTACAAGTATTTAGTGTAAAATAAAAACAAAAATTAAAGTTTTTTTTTTTAAACAACAGAGCAGGTTGTGTTATAAATGGTATCATAAGTCTATCTTGAGGGGGGGAAAGAATGAACTTGTGTCACGACCCCTCATGTGAAAGGAGAAACAAACAGGGACCAATAGTGTGTCTGTGACCAGATGGGAAGTTTGCACAGTCCAGCTGGAAAATGACACCATAGTACAGCCGGAGCCAGAAGATAAAAATAAGAAAGACAGATGGACCAGACCCCAAGGGGGGAATCACCCACCCAAAGAGGAGGAGATTTTGAACCCTATATAATGTGCTTTATCACATTGTTAGTGTTAGTCAATGTTGCTGGGACCTTGACTCAAGGCTTGTTGGCTGACCTGTATTTTGTTGAGGCAGTGAATAAACCTTTTTAAACTGTGCAGCTGACTCTGGTAGCTTTTACTCTACAATTATTGTATCACGAGAGTTTTGGTACCATTTTTTATTGGGAAAACAATTTCAGGGGACCTTTTAAAGCATATTCTGATGCATGCTCAATAACCCAGATAGGAAAATCTAAAGCATATTATCTTTCACCCCCTAGGACCTGGCATACACATATGCAATAGTTCAGGTCTTAGGAGGTTACAGCATAATTAATTGACTGTAAACTTGGATAACAAATTAGCAAGATAAGTACACATCAAAACACAGCTGTTGAATGTCATAGGGACTTTTTGACAGGAAATGCAAACAGCATCTTTGCATGAATCTCTATTTCTGGACTTCCTTTAATGTATGAAGATGTGTTCTCAAAAATACAGACAACACAATTTTTTAGATCAAGTAACTTTTTAATAATTTTTTAACCATAATGATTTATGAGTATAAAGCAAAAAATGCATTAGATATCTTGAAACAAATAATATTGAGCTGATGAGACAAAGTCTAAAGATATTAATGCTTTTTGTTTATAATTTTTTTTCAGATTTGTCTATCATTGTCATCAGTTCAGTTTAAATAAGACTTGCTCTTTCTAAATGGCAAAAAGTTAAATTGCTGTAACTCAAACAACTTTACAGCTAAGGAGTTAAACTTTGTTGTGGCAGTAGCTGAGACTGATCCCTAACACACATTCTGAGTGCAAACAGAGAGCATATTTGTTTCAAACGTTACCTTACTGTCAGCAAAATATTTAATGTGCCACTGGGATGATTTAAATAAAACTTTCAGGGAATTATCATTAGATGTCTGTTCACAATGTCTTAAACAGTTAACTGACATTAACAAACACAACAACAGTTATTCATTTAGATATAGAGCTCAACTTTCATTATCGTGACATCTCGCGATATCGCTCAGTTTACGCTTCATTCATTCATTCAACCTGATTCAACCCTGATTCAACCCAGCGCCAGAGAGCCCTTTATAGGGCTCTGATTCAACCTTTATTCATAAAGGTTAATTCCATTGAGTCTCAGTATTTCCCAAGGTTTAAAAAGAAACTAAGTATTTTTTCTAATCACAAGTTTGGTCTAAAACCAACCACAGAGGCGTCGTGCGATGTGCATTCCTGCAAGAAACGCTGCACTTCAGTTTTGATCGATGCATTTAAGGATTACATTTTTTACCAACTAACCCTTGTGTTGCGTTCTGCTGTGCCGTGAATCTGCTCATGAGAAGCAAATAAACGCGACCACATTTATTTAAATGAAGCACAAGAACGCAGTCAGTGCGGGACACAACGAGCAGTTCACATTCCTGACCAGCAGGTGTCAGTAGTGAGCTCAGGCTCGTCTCAGACTATAAAAGGAGCGCAAACAGCGCAGAAGAATAAGAAAATTCCGCCTTTTTTTTTCCCCCTCTCAGCACATGACAACATTTTAACGAGACGCTGACAAAAACACTTTTATACAATATCTTGAACGATTAATGTGAGTATATGTGTTTTACATTGGTAGTAAAACATGCTTTTTTCCACTCTTTTTTTTCTCCCCATCTTTCCTCCTTTAGCTTAAGATTTTCGTGGCGTTTCCTCTTGTAAACACTTTTTCTTACTACTTGTGTTCTCGGCTTTTATTTCCTCCACCACCGGCTCTCAGAAGTTTCAGACGCCATCCAGCCTGTATGAGAAAATGACCGTAATCCTGCGACTTCAAGGCCTGGATGAGAAGGCAGACGCTGATGATATACGATCGTTCTTCAAGTCTCTGCACATCCCTAAAGGGGGGATTTACATCGTGGGAGGAAGTCTCCGTGAGGCCTTTATTGCATTTAACACCGAAAGAGAGGCACAGCTCGCCATGATTCAAACTGGAGAGGCCATTAAAGGGTCTAAGGTGATTCTGAAGAAAAGCAGCATGGCACAGCTGGAGCACAGATTGGAGACATTAATAAAAACAAAGAAGTCTCGGCACACTGTGTTGAAGCCACAGCCGCAATCTGATTCAAATAGTACATCAAGTCATCATGAGGATAATACTGCAATACCTTCTGCTGCACGTTCACCTAATCTGGATACAGCTAATTTACCACACACAAACAATCAGGAGTCGTGTGCCAGTACTTCAAATGTTCCTGCATCAAATGAAAACCCTATAGATTCTGGCACTGCATTTCTTCTTGGAATTTGTACAGTCCTTAAAGGTCTCCAGTCATCACAAACTACAATACCAGGAGTTGATTTTAATGCGAACAAGCGCACATTACCTGAAGAGGTGGAGACGCCAGAAGAAACGAAGCCAGGTTATGTCCGGTTATTTGGTCTGCCAGAGTCTACTACAAAGGAAGATATTTGCCAATTCTTCAAAGGGTTGACTGTACAGGAAGCCATAGTGAATGTTAGGTTGGGGCCCAGTCGTGGTTGTCTAGTGATGTTCACAAAAATGCGAGATGCATTTGATGCCCTGCACTTCAACAAACGGTTACTTGGCTCCATCTGTGTGGAAGTACGTGGAGCGGATGAAAAAATGTGGCTAAGTGCCCTCGAAGAATGCAAAAATGCTTTAGAAGTTTTGGTTAGAAACGACCCTAGGCAACGCATAAAGGAAAGTGCAAACAAGGACTCTGTGCTGCAGCTCAAGAGGAAAACTGCCAAACCGTTTCCACTGAAACCATCAAAAAGGCATAAAAATGATGCTCTTTCAAATACTTGGATACCACAGTCAAAGGAGTACATTGTCATGGTCAGCAATCTACCTTGTACTATGACAAAAACTGAGATTAAAGAATTGTTTCAGTGTCCAAACCTTTCACACACAAATGTGCTTCATCTGCTTGATCAAAGTAGCAGCAGGACAGATAAAGCCTTTCTTATGTTCAACAGCGTTGAGGACTTTGACTACGCAATGAATCTCTCTGGTTGCCATGTGGGCTCTGATACCATTGAGGTCTCATCAATCACCAGAAAGGACATGACCAAAATGCTCTCAAAAGATCGCACAAAAGTATCAAAGGTCTGGTCTGACAGATCCAAGAACGTTTAGCAGAAGGGAATTCGATTCAGCTGCGCCGGAAGAATTGCCAAACAAAAACCTGGACCAAGCCGTTCAGATGTGCCCGTTTGTAAGAAACATGCCTGCAGATGTGCAGAAAAGTCAAATAAAAAGACTTTTCTGCCAATTTAAGGTGAAGACCGGTGACATAATTTTACTGCATGACAATGATGGCAATGGCTTCGGTGAAGCTGTGATCCAGTTCCGCTCAGAAAAGCTAGCTGCACAAACTCAGAGGATCCACGGTGAGGACTTTCTGGGGACCAACGTACTAATTACTCGCATGAGCATGACACAAATGGAAGACGTTTTGGTAAGAGTTTGACTTTTGACTGTCCAGCGCAGTTCCTTTTGAACATTTTAAGAACATTGTTTGCTTTTTTGGTTGACGTTTGGCTGGAAGAAATTTCGAAGAATCAAGTTTTAAACCTTCTCTTGGTTTACGGTCTGCACATACTGAGGAATAAACAAAACCCTGATGATGCACACCCATAGTACAATTAACTAAGATCTTTCCAGTGGAAAAAATTTCATTGCGCAAATGCTATTCTTTTTAAAGTTGCTGCAGCCTTTACATGCAAGAGGATATTAAAATAATAATAATAAAAAAAAGTTCAACGGAAGGAAATGTTATTTGTTTTTTGACATTCTGTCACTGTTCTGTAAATCTAAATGTGCATAAACCTGCTTTGCAAGGAAATGTAAAGTTGTTTTTTTTTTTGGAACACATGATTTTACTGCACAAACGTATCAAAGATGTTTTAAAAGTAAGGTATGTTCATTATAAAAAAAAATTGAATATTACATAATTTTTTTTAACAACTTTTATTAGATCTAGGAGAAAAAGATGTTTTGTAATACAGACAAAAGGTAACTAAAACCTGCCATGGTTATTTTATGCCATTTTTGTATCATCAGAAAATTATAAAAAATAACACAACCAAGCATAAAAACATTTAAACTGGACAGCTGGAAATGATGTGCATCTAGGATAGATGATAAGAGAAGAAGATTGCGGCCCTTGTCTCTCACTTCAGTTGTAATACCTGGGTGGACCATCTGCATACCTGGACGGACCTGCAGAGAGACGATCCAAAAAATGAGATTCATTTGACCTGAAGGTTCCTACAATCATATTGTTACAAGTATGTTAAGGCAGTTGTTTTGTAAACCTTGTTTAAAAATTAAGTTACATTTGTGTATGAACTTCATTTTAACTTTACAGTTGACCGTTTGTTTAAGATGGTGTAATTTTTTTGCCTTCCTTCCTTTTGTGAAGCAGTTTACGTAAGCACTTTGACAAATAAAAGTTGTTCAGACTGTGCGACTTGGTTGGATGAATAAGATTTAGGTTTTAACGGAGAATTGCTGCTCTTGTACCTGAGAGCGTGGCGGCGTATCGGTCATCGCCGCTCATTGAAGAGTTACGATTGGAACTCTGAAGAGAAAATGGAAGTCACATTTCCATTTGCAAACCCAAAAAAAACTAGTACACGTTAAAAAAAATGCTCATTGCTCATCTGGTTTTACACAGTACAAAGCAGAGTAGACCAAATTTTCATACAACAGTCATTTTGGTTACAATGATCTTCAGTATATAGTTTTTAAAAATAAATATTTAGTTTTAATATAGTTAATGAAAAACGAGCTTCATACCTCCGATACGCTCCGCAGTCTGTATTCCATCAACACATCTGTTAATTTCTGTGTCACCTTAAGCACCAACTGTGCATCGGTCTCACTCTCTATTTGGAAAGTGTCCTAAAAAGATGGAAAACTTTTAACACCTCGATGGCAAAAAAATCAACAAAACCCCACGAACAGCAGCGATGGACTAATATCCATCTTGTTGATTTAAAAGTCAGCTTTCTGGATAATACTCACCAGATATCTGAGGAGAGTATTCGGAAGGCTGCTGCTTGAAGATGCTTCCATCCCTTCAGATCTTTCTTCTGGTCTGTCGTTGAAGTTGTCCCCCATCTGGTTGCCTTGGTACTTCTCAGGATACATTTTACTAGGGCCCTCATCCTGCGGTCCACTCCTACCATAGCCAGCTCTTCCACCACCAGGACCAAAACCATTTCCACCTCTAGGAGGGCATTGACCCATATCATCTGAGAAAGGTCCTTGATCCATATCGGGGCCAGAAAAAGTTTCTCTCGACATGTAGGCCCTATTCCCAGGCTCTTCATAGTCTGAGAATGGACCACCATGACGGGAAAACTCTCCTGAAAACCCAGAGTCATGGTACCTTGGAGCTGGGGAATAATTACATACAAAAATAAATACAATGATATCAAACAAATTTACAACAGGCAATGTAGTGCAAACAGCTCACCAAAGGAGGGGCCCATCAGTTCCATCTCTTGATTTGGAGGCCCTACTTTAGGAATGGCAGACCCTGCAAGTTCACAGGAGTTCACAGTATTAGTATTCATATTCATATGAATCATGGAACAGTGCATAGGACAGGACAAAGAAAAAAAACGACAATAGGAGCTACAACCATTTCTACACTGGCAAAATGACTACAGTGGTGCTTGAAAGTTTAACCATTTAAAATGTTCTATATTTCTGCATAAATGTGACCTAAAACATCAGATTTGTACACAAGTACTAAAAGTAGATAAAGAGAACCCAGTTCAACAAACGAGACACAATATTATACTTTCTCATTTATTTATTGAGGAAAATGATCCACTATTGCACATCTATGAGCTTGCTCAGCTCAGTGTGAGGGAAACGGAGCGCTACCTCTGTAGCTTTTTAGCTAGCGGGTCTGTATTGCGCGTGACAAGCTTAGCGCTAAGTCAGTGCTAGCAGTTGTCAGGGGAGCAGTTTGGTAGAAAAACTGTGTGGCATTAGAGATGTGCTCCTCTTTCTGTGTTTCTCTCGCTATACCAAAGTTCATGCTCAATAATCCAGGTAAAAATCCAACAGTGTTCAGTCAAATCATCTGGACGGTTTCTTTCTTATTTTTTCCTGAGACTTTCGTCCTTCATCCAAAGGATTTCTTCAATTTGAGGAGACACCAAAAAACTGAATACCACAAGCTATTTTGCTATCTTTCGTAACATCTCTGCAGAACTCTGTTGAATAACAGGAAACACTCCAGCCCACAAAGCTGGCTGTGTGAACATGCAAAATCAAGTGCCAAGAGTGCTGCCCCATCTAGAGATCAACCTACTATTTCCTTTAAAAGGGTTCAGGAGCAGATAGATGGGGTTCAGACTTTGTGAACCGACCCAGCTTAATGTTGGTGTTAAGGATAGATTACTGAACTGAGACTCTGTAACTGCATTTATTTCTGAAGCTGTTCTCAATCTGCTAATAAATCGAGTTAACTAGATCCTCGGCGTCCTCCTCCTTTCTGATCCAATGAAGAGCGCTGAACAGGTGTTTTGGAGTCAGATCAATATAGCGTGTTTTCATAACCTGTTCAAAATTCAGTATCAAATAATTATTTTTTTCCACTGTATGTGTATGGTGTTTAATTAAATTATTTCCATCAGAAGTTATGGTCAGGACAAGAGAAAGTTTACTGACAAATGGACAGAGACTATACTATATGTCCCACCTTGACAGGCAAAGGGGCATGCCACAATAAAAACAAACAAAAAATTAGCTTATTTCAATGAATGCAATATAGCCCATCACCTTGCATGCCAAAGTTTTAAACAAACATATTGCATTATTTGTAAAAATTATTGAATTATAGCCATTAGAAGTATCCCTTAGCAGAGAAACGCTGATTCCTTTAATACTGCTACTAAGACTTTTTTTTATTTCAGCTGCTCTCCTTCAGGAGTCACCACTATTAAGACTTCATATATGTTCTTTCCAACAAAACTAAAAGTACTGTCAGCTACTAGTTAAAATATTTAATATTTGTTTTAATAATTATATGAACAAAAGCGCAGCACGGTGGCGCAACTGGTAGAGCTGCTGCCTCTCATCGAGCAGGTCCCTGGTTCAAACCCCGGTCCAGGGGCCTTTCTGGGTGGAGTTTGCATGTTCTCTCCGTGCATGCGTGGGTTTTCTCCGGGTACTCCGGTTTCCTCCCACAGTCCAAAAACATGCATGTTAGGCTGATTGGTAACTCTAAATTGTCCCTAGGTGTGCGTGAGAGAGTGAATGGTTGTTTGTCTCGTTTGTCTCTATGTGGCCCTGTGATGGACTTGCGACCCGTTCAGGGTGTACCCTGCCCCTCGCACAGTGATTGCTGGACATGGGCACCAGCGACCCCCGTGACCCAAAATGGAATAAACGGGTAAAGAAAATGGATGGATGGATGGATGAACAAAAGCTTTTCAGTGTAAGCACAGCAAAATAACTTACGGAAATTTTTGAAACAAAAGACGTCAAAGGGCTCCTTTATAATCACCTAAAAGCCACAAACAAAAAGACACATTTATAATCATGTTTCATTTATGAGTAAATCCAATACAAAAATATAAAATGATTTAAGAAACAAAAACTTTAATTTGTGTTCACACCAAGATGTTTCTATAATTTTGTTACTTGTCTGTGCTGTACAGGCAGATGATGCCACAGTGCTTGCTGTTAGTTATGGCTGCCAGCATGGTGGAACAAAAGTATGGCATGTAACTCAACAGCACCAGTGTTTAGTTTGGCATTTCCCATTACAGTGGTCCCTCGCTACTTCACGGTTTGTTTTCGTGGACTCCCTCTATTGCTGTTTTTCAAAATAAGATTGGACATGACATAATTGGCTGACTGATTGATGAGCTGCACAATCGGCATGAAATTTTTATTTTAAATAAATTATTTTAAATTATTTAGCCCTTGCTACACCTGTGTGCAGCCCACAGCTGCAGACGAAGCTTCCCAGTGTCAGACCTCCGCTCTGCAGCGGAGAAGCGGGCGTGGCCGAGAGCGCTAACAGGTGGCAGAGAGCTGAGATCATGACAGTCTGTGCTCTTTTACAGCGTTTAGAAACATTGTTTAGAATATTGCAAGAGTGTGGGGTTTAAAACGCTATATACAGTAGTCCTTCGCTACTTGGCGGTTTGATTTTCACTTATCACGGGGCTTCAGGGTATGGATCCCCAGTGATAAACGAGGGACTACTGTACAGTAAATGGTGCAAAACGCAGAGACGTGCAATATTCAGAGGCAGGATTTTCTGGCCCATGAAACCCAGGGCCTTGTCCAGCGGGTATCTCCCAGGAAGCTGGAAATACTCTTTGCCTGAAGCAAAAATGGCCGTCCAGCATTGCTTCTCCTTGAGAGGTGTCAGGGCTTACTTGCATGTTCTGCGCCGAGGCAGCCCTCGCTGATGACGTGCAAGTCGGAGCTGAGGATGTACCCCGACTTGCAGGTTGGACAAAGGCGAATCACTCTGCTGGACATCTTCTGCTCTTTTAGTTTTCTTTAAGTGTTTGCTGGCTGAAGAAAAAAGGGGAGCCGATCCCTGGTCTCAGGGCAATTTACACAGACCAGGGTGGGGCCCACACAACAGGTGGGCGACGGGCGTGGACTAAAGTTTCAGCGCTGCGGTGCGTGCGAGGGGTAAACTCACTGAAGATTGCCTTAAAGGGCGAAGCCTTTACGAAACAGAAATGAGATATCGACTGCACACACACTACTATAAAAACACCATCACAGTTCTAAATGATACAGATAGTTGTATAAATTATTAAAGTTCAGAAGAGTTTTTGTGCAGACTTTCACAGGTTTTGAAATTTTGTTAAAGATTTACCAAATATTAATCAATATGGTTAAGACTGTGAAGTCTGTATATTTCATATTGGGTTAAGTTTTGAAAATAAAGCAAATGTTACTGTGAAGTCTGTATTTTATTTTGAGTTAAAGTTTAATGCACTATGGTAGGCTTAGGTTACTTTTGTATTTATATATTTTGAATTATTTGTCTGTGATGGACTGGAGACTTGTCCATGTGTCCCCCGCCTCTCGCACAATGATGGCTGGATATGGGCACCAGTGACCCCCGTGACTCGAAGAGGAAGAAGTGGGTAAAGATGATGGATGGATGATTTATTCCTAGATTTAAAAAATATATATTTTAGAAAAAGCCAGGCAGCTAAGCTAACCTATTACTGGTAATTTAAGTTACAGAATTTTATGCACTCCTATATTTGTTCCTGATTTTGGTATAAATATAAAATGATGCAAAAAGATTTGATACAGTAAAGAACCTAAAAGTATTATTTTAAATAAATGTTCTATTTGTTTACATTGTTATTTAATCTTTTCATCTTGTCAATTACATAAACAAAATTTATGACCATTTCGATAGAAAAATCGTTTCTGAATTGAAAATCAATTTTGAATCGAATTGTGACACCAAAAATTGGAACCGAATCGCTAGACACAGAGATTTGCACCCCTACTGGTGCTAGATAATACAGCCGAAAAACAAAGTTGATGAAATTAAACCATAAAGCATGCTTGAATTGCAGTTTTACATCGAACCAGAAGGATTAACGACGTGAGTTGCAGCAGTAGTCGGTCACTTACTCTAATTTGTCCCCTCCCTTCTGCCTTTTCCACCTCTGCAGCAGCAGTTCTGAGTGGACCTTTAAGTGAAGGGTCTTTCACAACATCTCCGTCTTCAAAGGTAATCTTGTCAGGGTGATATTTTTTCTGTGTGAAAGACCGAAAGGATATGAGGACTGCTCAAACAATGAAATTTGTTGCCAGATTAGAAAACCAGCAGTACCGGTACCTACCATGTATTTGAAGCAGTGTTTCCAGCCTTTCACGTGGTCAACTATGTCATGCTGCACACATGACAGGGAACAGAGCTTGCAGAGGTAATGTGGCTGAACAGTTTTACTGGGACTGCGATACTCCCACACATATTGGAGGCCTGCACACACAATTTTATTGTTTATCCATTTTTGTATTTCAATATGGAGAGAGGAACAGTTAATGCATGTGAATGAAAGTGTTCATCTCCTTACCAGTAATCCCTGTGACCCCCTTCAACAATTTGCTCAGAGAGGGCACGGTTTGGAGAATATCCCCTCTTGTGAACACTGAGAAAAAAAATACAATCAGGATCAAAGAAGTACTTTAGAACTGTCCAAGATGTCCTTGTCACTCTGATAAAAGTCTCTTGAGAAAAACCTGCCACCAAAGGGGGTGTTGAGTTTTTATACAACTTGCAACAACCGATCACCTTATGAACTGAACATCCTTAGACATATGCAAAACTCATGTCTGTTTGAAATCTGGGAGAGGAACGAGAACAGCTGTTCCCAGCAATCCCCCATTTTGATCCAAAATGGTCTGCAGGACACAATCCCTCAATGTTGCACTGCTTTTTACTGCCTCCTGCAACAGAGGACTTGTGTCTGTGCTGCAGTGATGAAGCAGTTTGTGCATAAATTAAAAAATACTCCAAGTTTATTGTGACCAACAAAGTTGCCGTTTAAACACAGACAACTACAACTTATAACACTACACTCAGCAGTGTTTAAGTATTTAGACAACTCCTGAGCTCAAAAAGGTGCATTTCAGACAATGTTGCCTAAAGTGCTGCAACATCTTAGGAGAATGGGTTGCACTGTTTCCAAGAGTTGCAATTTATTATTATCTTAACCACTTGTGGCAACAGACTGGAAAATGTTTTTGCACACCTGTTTTTAATAGTGATCTCTAGAGACCACAAACTGTGAGAAGGCACTAAAACAGGCCCCCTGGACTCTGAGAGACCACTGAGAGATGAACATGTCACCCCTGATGCCACAAAGCAGGAAAGTTAAAGTCTCGAGCTTCAACTCTCAGCACTGGAAGTGGCACGGTGTGTAAAAAAAGACTTACCTATGTCAGCAGAGTACTGCGGATTCTTTTTCTGTCAGCAGGGTGGATAAACCCACGAGAAGGAGAAGAGACACAGAAATTAGTGACAAGATGACACTCAGCAGAGGACTGAACTCTTTGTCCATGTCCTACACACTATACATGCCACAGAGCCATCATTTCTTCACTCTCCACGATCCCCGCATCAAGCAGAGACCGACAAAAGAATGAATAGACATGGGCTCTAAACTGTGTCGTCCAGTGATGGCTCTCAATTCTCATCAAATGAGAACAGCAACACTGTTACTGATTTTAAAGGAAAAGGAGAGTTATTACACTTTCATTATATGAGAGATACTGAAATCCAACCTTCTTGTTCATTGTGGCCACGTAAAATGCACTGAGGTCACAACCTTTGTGCCTTTGGCCAAACTGATGCGTTTTGTTTTAAATCAAAAGCTCAAATGATTAAAATAAAAAAGTTTCAGAAATACGTTCACATACAACTTCTCACGTAAAGGATGCATATGAGCTGTACAGCTTTTATTACCAATGTGAGTTAACTTTTTGGATATGATTGATTACTACACTTTGGAGTGGAGAGAATTTCTAATTTTTGACACAGTTCCCTCATCTGGGTCAAAAACAACTAAATATTGGTAATAATAATATTAATGCATTAGAGACAAAAGTCTCAGAAAAAAACCAGAAAGTTTTTACTGGTGTCAAATAGAAAAGCAGCCAAGCACCACCAGCCTGTAGGAATGGATGTCCACAGATTGCTGTTGCATTTGTTCAAATGTTGCAAATTTAGCAACAGTTTTGGTAAAACATTCACATTTAATCTCTCACTGTGAATTCAAACTGTTGCCCATGCTTTTTTAGACTTTTTTATTTGAGTCTGTTAGTCTTTTTTTTTTGTCTTGTACAGACTTCATCAATCAGCAGAGCCTGCATTGACAGAAATGGCCTTTTCTTATTCTTTTGTGCATACGTTTATTTATGTCCCCAGATACTGGTTACATTAAGAGATGCACCGAAGAGACCAGCCACCAGTTCTCAATGTTGGTTTGGTGTATGGAGACCCAGGGGCCCCTATTAGAGACAGAGAGGCAGGAGTGTGTCAGACATAAGAGCCTGGGAAATGTCTCCTGAATGAGATTTAGGACTGCAGAGTGTTTTTGCTTTGTCCATCCTCAGCGAGCAAACATTGAACTGAGTGGTATTTTGAGTTCTTCATAGAAATGTCATTTCTAACCCGAGTCTGCGCCCGGCCCTGCCCGGAATTTGGGCCGGGCCAAAATAATGTGCTGGATGGACAGGCTGGGTTGGTGTCAGGCTTTTGATGGTGTCGGCGAATGCTCACGGCCGACGGTCCAATTTGGATTGCCAGCCGCGCGCTGACTTGGCCGGTTGAAAGAGTTAAAAAAAAAAAAGTTCAGTTGAGCTTTGGCTGGACCACTGCTCCAGCGATCCACCCAAGCTCAACTGGACTCAGCCGCTGCGTCAGCGGAAGTGCGTACGAGCCCGGCTGGTTGAAAGAGGTTAAAAAAAAAGTTCAGTTGAGTTTCAGCTGGACCACTGCCCCAGCGATCCATCCAAATCCAACTGGACTCCACCAATGTGTCAGTGGACGCACACAGCCAAGTCCGGCCGGTTGAAAGAGTAAAAAAAAAAAAGTTTAGTTGAGTTTCAGCTGGAC